TTCTCTGGCCAGAAGTTTGATGGCAAATCCTCCCTCTTCAAGTTGGCGATCCAACGACCAACCCGTCCGTGGAGGATCAGGAATCAGAAAGGTGATAAAACGCTTTCACTTTTACCCAATTCATTAAGATATCCAACTGCCATGCACATGGGCCTTTTTCGGTGTAACTATAGCTCTGGTGAATTTCAATATTGAAGTCCTCTGGAAATCTTCAATAATTGTTGTTGATTGCAGATGTGTCTAGTAGTTCCCATTGACTTTGCTTGTAAAGCGGGGAGAATGGCGCTAGGCTTACCGCACCGTGACGTCACGGCTGGAAGATGGCAGGAGGGAGGGGTTACTGTATTTGGGCAAAAATGGCCGCTCCCAGACTCTGATCACGGCGAAAATTATTTTTATTTTTCCACTGCAAACGTATTTGTTTTATGTATAAATAATGATCCATTGATTTTTCCTTGCTGACCAGACTTTTCCTTTAAATCTAAAAATAAAATATTTACAGACAAGCATCCATTTCATCGTCTTTTATATAACTCTTAAACCACCAGCCACTAGTTGGCAGCACACCGTCGTATCAGGACGTATCAGAATGAATCGGATCGTGATGCGTATCGCTAAATTCTTTCCAATTCTCATCCCTATTCTATAACATCATCACTATTGCTGCAGGTAGCCCAGTTTGGGCCAACATGGCATGCTTCATGCTCCAAGTTCACTAATAAAAAAGGTGAAAAAAAAAAAGTTTAAGCAGGAATTGATGGAACAAGTTGTTTATATTCTCTCTCTCAAACCAACACAAGACCAATATGCCTAAGTTGTTACAAAAACTTTGCTTTGTTTAACATTTTCAACTTGAGGTAGTGTTATGAGATCAAACAGGACCTTTAAAGAAGATTTTCCTCAAACATAAGGATATGAAAGATTACAAGTTACATCTATGACCCAACAACAAAAAGCACAAGAAGCCTCCTTCTCATGCTTTATGCATGTTTATGAGTCTGACTGAAGCCATTGCCACTACCTTTAAAGGGGAACGCCGTTTTTTTTTCACATTGGCCCCTTGATTTTACGTTATTACATCATGTTCTACTCATCCATATTAGTTTTGTGTCATTTGGAGCCGTTCTGAAGATGTTCGTTAGGTTATATCCAAGTAACGTCTTCCTATGGGCAACGACTTGAAGGCACAAACTAAGCTGTTCATAATTTATTCTTTATGGTACGCCAGCATTCATACAGGGTTCCTACAGCATAAGGCAAGTTAAATTCAAGACTTTTTAAGACTTTTTAATGCCACTTGAAATAAAAATTTAAGACCAAATTCACA